GTCCTAAACTTGGACTCTTGAGCAATTAATCGGGAAATTTTCCAATGGTAAAAAGGAAAAATATACCATTGACACTCTTAGTATAATTCGTTGGATCAACCGTCTTGTAGTCATCAAAACATGTCTTATGGAACATTTCCATTTCCCATGTCTTAACTAGGTTCTGGACTTTCTCTTCAAGTGATCCAGGAGGCCATATCTGTCATGGATAAACAACAAATTCATAAATTAAAACTTGAATAGATACTTGGTTACTTCTGAGTGAAGGAATCAAACTTCTACAATAACCAAAAGTTATAAGCCTTAAGATCAAAATTCTATTTACACTCTCTATATTATTATATTTTATTATTATTATTGTTTAAAATTTTTATTTTCGATCAACATTTTTTATAGTTTAAAATTAACGACTCATGAAGCATCTCAAAAGTTAACGATAATGTGACGTACAGGTCACAGTTCTTTCCTTGCGTGGCATGATTTTGCTGATTTGGCCATTACCTGGACAAATATTATTGACGTGGCGACTATTTTAATGACTTGGCAAACTGGTTTTTAAATGGCCTGCTGTACAACTCAAGCCTGTCCCCACATCTAACGAGAAAAAAATATTAAAAAAAAAACAAAACTTCATCTTCTTCGAGCAGGACCCAGAGAAGATAGATTTGGCCGCCGGTGACACTCGGTGACAGCAAAACAGAGCAGATGCGACATTGAATCCTTATCGCTATCGTCTCCTTCTTTCTGGAACATTGATTTCGAAACCCTTGGAGGGATTGGATTCCTCATTGCCACCAGCGATCGTCTCCTCATCCCTTACCACATCGTCGCTCAACGCCTCGTCTTTTCAGATCTCTGCCTCCTCAAAACTTTTTCTTGCATCCCCACTCTCATCATGTACAATTCCGTTTCAATTTTGGATTTTTTTTTTTTAAGTTTTAAATTATAAATGTTTTTTAAACTGAAGTGAAAATTTTAAAAGGCGTTAGATTAAATAAAATAATAATATAAATGCTATAAATAAGGGGTTTACCCTAAACTTAAATTCGGATATATAAGGGAAAGAAAAATTATTTTTCAGTTCGAATTATTTTAAATTATAAAATAATAATATTTAAATCAAAAATGAATCTTGATATTGGATACCTTTTATTTTTATTTAAAAATTTTTATCTTACATACAAACTATAGCATAGCATACCCACAAAAATGATCCTGAAACATTTTTTTTGTATAGAAAAACTAACAGAAAGCATGATAATGAAGGGAAGGAGAAACCTCAAACCTTAGTTCTGCCTTGTTCAAAGAGCTTGTTGACAACATCATAGTTAGGAGGAGCACCATATCTCCACTTGGTGTTCTT